TGAGAGGGGGTCACTCATGTAGGCTTCAAGCTTGGATTTCTGCAGGCAGATGAAGAGGTGTCCACTGTCTGCAGAAGGGGCTCCCAGGGTGGGCCGTGCAGGGACGCTCACAGGTGCTGGGGGACGCAGGGTCCAGGCACGAAGTTGGAAAGGCATCGCCTTTTCCATTTTCCTCCAGTCTTTCGGGTTCCCCAAAAACTGAAGTCCCAGAGTGACGTCAGCACGTCCTCAACGCCTGCTGGTTTCTCCCTGTAACCGCCAGAGCACAGACCTCGCGCCCAGAGTTGCCGCAGCCACTCGTGTGGCTTTCACAGCGGTACTTCCTTTCTGTTCTGTTTGGCTTCACGGTTGCCCCTACCTGTGGGACGCTGCCTTCTATCTCCCGCTGTTTCCCGTTTCCGCGGTGATAGGAAATTTGCTGACCCTGCCCACCGTGTGCGAAGCCGCAGGCCCGCTGCGCGAGGTACCGCGTGTGGCACGACAGCCTCAGGCCCCGCCTCGCCTGCAGGGCAGACGATGAAACGTCAGTGATTTATAATAAACGCTCTGGAAGAAACCAGCAGTGTGCTGTGGTCGGGAGGGCTGGGGCTGGGGTGGGGTCTCGCTAGGAGGGCGTGGATGCTGACACCTGCAGGTTGAGTAGCTGCCTGCTCCGTGAGCAGGGAAGAGCATGCTGGGCAGAGGGAACAGCATATGCGAAGGCTGTGAGGTGAGGAAAGTTTGGGCAAATTTGAAGAATAGGAAGCGGCCCAGTGTCTGTGGGGCCGGGTATGGGACAGGGGAGAGTGGCCCACGATGACATTGGGGAAGCAGGTGGTGACGAGTTTGATTTTTACTCTAATTCTTTCCATTCTGAGTGATTTTATTTGAGTCAGAAAAAGCAGATGTGCTCAGCCTTGCACGTTGCACCCTGCTTTCACCCGAGGTTGTCTGTGGGACAGGTGGGGACACTGGTGCTGAGATGTCTGTCTGTCTGGCAGGACTCGTGACATCAGAGAATCTGGCCTCTGTCACACTTGGAGCATCAAAGGCGGAGACACGGCCCTGAACAAGGCAGGACTGAAACCGGAGGGACGAGGGCAGAGTCACGGCAGCCACTCATTCAGCCAGATGCTCCGGAATCAGTGCTCACTTGGCTCCGCGGCTGAACCCAGCAACGTCTCTGCATCTCTGCTGCTCGGCACAGGGCTTGGCCGGGAGCGAGTGGGGCTCCAGAGAAGTTGTTGAGTTAAACTGAAGTGTCCTTCCAAGGCCTCCTGTGTGGGCCGGGCCGCCTCCCTTCCCTGGGGGCACAGATGTGAAACCCTGTGCCCCACAGTCCTTCCTTTGTTTTCCGGGGCACCTTGAGTCAAGGAGCTGCCGGAGCTCGGAGCTCGAAGTGCAGGCCTAGGGTCTTCCTGGGAAAGCCAGGGGCAGGGTGGGGAAGAGCGTGCTCATCCAGCCAGTCTGAGCTGGTTCGAATTCCAGCTTCTCCACTCTGAGCCTCGGTTTCTTCATCTGTAAAATGGGCCTATCAGTAGCACCTCCATAAAAGGTTATCAAATTAAGTGAGTCGGCTCACGTAAAGAGCTTAGCACTGACTGCCAAGGGATGCATGCTCAGTAAATGCAACTGTTATTATTATTATTATAATTCTGTGCTGAGTGTGCATCAACCTGCCAGGCTAGTCATGCCCGACTCACCAATAGGTCACTTTCCACCCCCACATGGAGAGACTTTGGATTATAAAAGTCACGCCCAGGAAATGACCACTGATCCTGAAACCCTCCCATATCCCAGATGGAGCCCCTGAAGGCCAAACCCCAGCGACCGGCTGGACATCCGTAGAGGCAGTAAAGGTGCCAGCCCTGGCCCCATCCCCACTCTGCAGCACGAGCACTTCAGGAGCGCGGGGATGCCCGAGCCTGACCTACCTCCCAGCAGGGTTATCTTGAGGACAAGCTGAGCTCATGGGTGACAAGGGCTTTGGGAAACCAACAGCCAGATCTTATCGTGGTAATAACAAAAATAACAAGCGCCGCCCGCAGGATCCCACTTCAGCAAGAATTCCACCTGCGCAGCTGGGCTACCAGCAGGGGCGGGCAGGCTAACAGGAAGGAGACCTCAGGACCACGGGGTTTCAGCAGCTGTGCCCCCTCCTCGCCCCACGCGGGTACCATCACGCATTTGACGGGGAACTCCTTCAGGCCTCTGTTCCTTGGGGAGTCGAAGACCACGGGCAGCGTTTTGTGCGGGGCTTGGATGTAGCCGATCTCCATTTCGTCCTGTGCGGGCGGGCGGAAAGGGCGCTGTGGCGCGCGCTGCCAGGGCCGGCCCCCAGCGCCGAGACTGGGGCGTGGAACCAGCCCCGCGCTCTCCCGCTCACGGTCAAGGGCACCGTGCGACATCTGACCCCAGAGGAGGGAGAGCAGAGCTCGCCGCCAGGCTGTGAGAGCGCAGGGGTGCCCTTCCCCCCTCCCCTCCCGGTGGTGCCTGGGCTGGCGCTGGGGACCCCCCGGGGAGCGAGGCTCAGACTCCATCCTGGAGAACGCTGTTCCTCAAGGGGAGAAGACTAGGGTGCCGGGCAGTGAGCACCCAGTGTTAGGGGGCGCCGGGGGGAAGAGGGGTCTGTGGGGACCCAGAGCAGGGCCTCCCGGTGCAGCTGGGCTGGGCCAGAGGAGACCTCCTGGCGGGGCGGGGCTGCCAAGCGCAGGCCTGGAGGTGAGTGAGTTGACCCTCCGGCCTCCTCCC